GACATTGGCAAGGGCTGGGGGCCTCAGGGTCATTGAGGAGGGTGAGGGAAGGGGTGTTCCCGGGGCAGAGTTCTGAGGCCACTCCCAGCCCTAACACACTTCGGCCCTCGGGCATCCTGGGTGGCCAGGTGTGCCTACGCTGACGGTCCAGATGCCCAATGCCTCTGTGGACGTGGGGGACGACGTGTGGCTGGAGTGCCAGGTGGAGGGGCGGGGCCTGGAACAGGCCGGCTGGATCCTCACAGAGCTGGAGGAGTCGGCCACAGTGATGGTGAGAAGTCCTTCACCCCAGCCCCCCAGAGGGATCCAGGCAGGGCACTAGGGACAAAGACAGGGAGAGACAAGGAGTAAGGTGTGCACAGTGGCTGAGGGGTGGACCCAGATGGCTTAGATGTATAGGGCTCAGGCTTCGTGTGGGGCAGCCCGGGGCATGCACATACCCTCAGGGCTGGCACTGGCTCAGCAAGTCCTCAGGCTACACTGAGCCCACCAGGATGTTGGCCCCTTTCTGGGAATGTGGTGCTGGCTGCAAAGGAGGAGGCCACAGAGCCCTTGCACCTTGGAGCTGACAGGGACCCAGTGGGCCCTCCCTCCCACACGTCTCCTTGCTGTGCCTAGGAAGGATGGGGTCTGGAAGGGGACACAGTGCCTGTGGTCCTGTACCCAGAGTGAATTCTTGGGGACTCTTGGGTCTTTTTTTGGAGATTCTGGAAGCAGCATCTTCTTGGGTATGCGATGAATGTTTTAGTAAAGGAGACACAGGTCTGGTTCCAGCTCTCACTGATTAATTACTGGAGTAACTTTTGGAAAAGTCACTTAGTCTGCCTGCACTTTGGTTTTCTTATCTGTAAACAGAGAAGGTGGACATGATGGCCTTCTGTTGTCCTGCTTGCTTGTGCACATCCTCCGCTCTCTATCTCTGTTATCTAAACATTTCTTTGGGCACCTTCCCAGGCCTTGCCCTCAGTCCTTAGGCTGGCGATGGTCAGTGGAGAGTAGCCACAGCTCACTCAGGAAGCCTTGTTGACAAGGCCAACAGGGGCCAGCAGTGGGCTGTGCCCACCTTAAAAGCTGGCCCCGCCTGGGTGGCAGGAGTGGATACCCAGGAACCAGGGGTGTGGGCCAGGGGGTCGGGGGTGTGGTGTTCAGTTGGAGGACACGCAAATCTAGAATTGCTAGAGGCCCCTGGAGCCACGTCGAAGAAGGAACCACCGGAGCCCTGAACAGAGGCATCCGGGCATAGTGGTGGGACCACTAGCCACTGGGTAGTTCAAAGCCACCTGCAGAGATCAAAGCTACCTAGTATGAGAAAAGGAAAGAGGACAAGGCAGAGGCCACACCCATGTGTGGCAAGACCTCAGATCTAACTCTGTTTGGGAAAATTCTAGGTTTGTGCTTTCTCTTTGGGAAATTTACATATTTGCTACCACCTGTTTTTTCTGACTTTTCTAGAAAAGTCGCACCCTAACTGAATTCAGTGGAGGAAAAGAGAGGCTGGTGCCCCTTATTAGGAGATTAAGGGGTGGCAGGACAGCTCAAGGGGAAGAGTCACTGGGACGTGAGGCCCCAGGGTGACGGAGGGGTGGCACAGCCTGGGGGAACATGGGGCGGGGCAAGGTTTCCCCGCAAGGCTGTGCTTACACAAAAGGCTACACAAAAGGCTGGGACCCAGGAGATATTCTTTAACCTTTGAACCCACATATTCCGGTGGAAGTCCAGGGAAACCAGACCTCCTCTGTGTACAGTCAAGGGATTTCATATTATGAAGTTTCCAGATCAGTGGGATCTGTCTGCCACTTCATTTATTTTTATTATTTTATGAAAATCACTTTCTAAAATGTCAGAAGATAATTTGTCCACATCTTCAGCTTACAAAACAAACAAAAAGCCCAGGTTTGGCAAGATTAAGAATTGCCTTAAGGGCATGTAGCTTACACATGGCACGTCCGTGGTTTCTTAGGAAGAGAAACTGAATCTGATTCGATCTTTGGATGATGACTCAGAATCAAGTCACTTTGCATCTCTAACCTCACTCCCGTCTCCTCTGCCGAGGAGGGGTTGCCGCGGCTGTTGCTTCTAAGTGCTGCACTGTTCTCCGTACCTTTTCTTTGTCTCTGATATTCCTTAGGCTGAGACCAAGTTTGTTAGAACTGTGTGTAAAACAAGAATGAATAGGTGGCGGGGTCCCAGTGGGTTCTCTGGTGAGCTGTGTATTAACTTGATACTTGGAGCTGGTGACATCTGTTCTGCTGCTCAGTTGGGTGGCTTTAGTTTTGGTTTGGGGCATTTTGTGCCTCTTTTGAGGTTGGTTATATTTGTTGGTATTTTTAAATGTGGGATTCAGGAGATAATTGGCACACACGCTCTGAAGGAAGAGGGCCATTCTCTGTTACATTCTCTCCTATCCCCTCTCTCTTCTGTCCCCCCAGCCCTCCTGTCCTTTCCATCTGGAGCCAGAGGGGCTCCCCAAAGGCACCAGCCCCAGCCCCTCACCCCCAGCCCCAAGCTGGCCGAAGCTCTTCCTGATTTCCCCATATCTTCCCTGATCCAGAAATATGGGGGTCTGCCGTCCCTGGGGCTGACCCTGGCCAATGTTACCAGTGACCTGAACAAGAAGAATGTGACATGCTGGGCGGAAAACAACGTGGGCCGGGCAGAGGTGTCTGTTCAGGTCAACGTCTCTTGTGAGTCCCAGTGGCTACCCCTGCTCCCCCTCTCTCCTTCCCTGAAAAGGGAATGCAGGGTGGGGGGCTGGAGAAGAGGGGTGGGATGTCTCTCCACAGCTGCTCCCTCCCAGCTGTTTCCAGATTCCCATGAAAACCCGATCCTTTGGGGGAAGTCCTGGGGGCTCATCAAGGCCAGAGGGACAGAGATGGATTTCTTTCTGGCCCCCTGCCCAAACCTCACTACCTGAGGCCTTCAACGCCAGCTGCCTGGCTGTTCCTGAAGTGCTCCTTCGTGCTGGTTCCTCCGCCCCTTTGCCACACACGAGCTTTAAAGGAGGAGATTCTTTTCCTGAATTGCTCTTTAGACTGGCTGCCTAATTTCTGTAGGTCTGTCAACACATTATCTTAAATCTTCTGCTTTATATCATTTTCTTCTTTCATTGTGAAATATATCAAGAAATGTGCAAAAATGATACACGCTTACCAGCACTTCAGAAGACCCCTGACCTCTCCCCATTCACAATCCCACCCCTCTGCCCATCTTATGCTGACTTTTGTGATAACTATTTCCTTGCCTTGAAAAGTAATTTTTCACAAGTATGCTTCCCTATCAATATAGTTTTGCCTGTTCTTGTATACTATATAAATGGAACCATACTGCATGTAGTATCTATTTTTTTTTTTTTTTTGAGAAAGCAAGATTTATTAAGAGGACAGAAAAGCTCCCACAGTGGGAAGGGACCCAAGGGGGTAGCCCAGTATCTTTTTTAAATGAAAAATTTTTAAGTCTCACTCTGTCACCCAGGATCATGGCTTACTACAGCCTCGACCCCCTGGGCTCAGGTGATCCTTCTGCCTCAGCTTCCTGAGTAACTAGGACTACAGGTGTACATCACCACACCCTACTAATTTTTTTGATACTTTGTAGAGACAGAGTCTTGGTATGTTACCCAGGCTGGTCTCGGATTCCTGAACTCAAGCAATCCTCCTGCCTCAGCCTCCCAAAGTGCTGGGATTACAGGCGTGAGCCACCATGCCTGACCCTGCATATAGTATTTTGTATCTGGCTTCTTTCACTCAGCATTATATTTGTAAGTTTCATCCATGTTCATGGGGGTAGCTAGTTCATTCCGTTCACTGCTGAGTAGGTTCCAGTGCAGGAATGTTGGCCGGAATTCTAGTATATATCGTCTATGTTTACACACACATACACTTTTTTTTTCTATTATTGAAGGGATTTTGCTTTTTCTAGCTAGGTCTCTTTCAAATCCATATCTTTTTACTTTTTTTTTTTTGAGTTGGAGTCTCACTCTGTTGCCCAGACTGGAGTGCAGTGGCCGCTCCCGGCCACCGCAGCCTCAACCTGCTGGGCTCCGGCGATCCTTCCGCCTCAGCCTTCTGAGTAGCCGGAATTACAGTCATGCGCTACCACACCCGGCTGATTTTTTGGTTTATTGTAGAGATGAGGTCTCGCTGCCCAGGCGGGTCTCGAACCCGCGGGCTCAGGCAATCCACTCACCTCAGCCTCCCAAAGGTGCGGGATTACAGGCTGAGCCACCGAGTCCGGCTCATATCTTTTTTCAAAAAGTTTTTTTTTTTGAGTTGGAGTCTCACTCAGTTGCCCAGACTGGAGTGCAGTGGCCGCTCCCGGCCACCGCAGCCTCGCCTGCTGGGCTCCGGCGATCCTTCCGCCTCAGCCTTCTGAGTAGCCGGAATTACAGGCATGCGCTACCACGCCCGGCTGATTTTTTGATTTATTGTAGAGATGAGGTCTCGCTGCCCAGGTGGGTCTCGAACCTGCGGGCTCAGGCAATCCAGTCACCTCAGCCTCCCAAAGGCGTGGGATTACAGGCTGAGCCACTGAGCCCGGCTCAAAAAGTTTTTAACTGTATTGATTTCTTGCTTTTTTTTTTTTTGAGAGATGGAGTCTTGCTATGTTGCCCAGGCTGGTCTCGAACTCTTGGGTTTAAGTTTCCTCCTGCTCAGCCTCCCAAAGTGCTGGGATTGCCAGTGTGAGCCACCATGCCCGGGCTGCTTGTTTGATTTTCAGGTCCCCTGCCCCATTTCTTAAACTTTATTACACTGAATTTTTCTAGATTCCTTACCCCAAAGGCTCCACATTTAATTGTCATAATTGTCTCTGGGGCTGATATTTATGACTTACTACTTGAGTTCTTTAAGCTCTAAATTTTATATGCCTGTTGCCTGACTTATTTAACATTTATTGGCCGGGTGCAGTGGCTCTCACCAGTAATCCCAGCACGTTGAGAGGCTAAGGCAGGAGGATTGCTTGAGCCCGGGAGTTTGAGACCAGACTGGACAACATAGCAAGACCTCATCCCTACAAAAAATTTTTAAAAATTAGCTGGGCATGGTAGCATGTGCCTGTAGTCCCAGCTACTCGGGAGGCTTAGGCAGAAATATCACCTGAGGCTAGGAAGTCGAGGCTGCAGTGAGCTGTGATTGTGCCACTGCACTCCAGCCTGGATGATAAAGTGAGACCCCGACTCAAAACAAAAAAAATCATTGTCAACCTTCTTGACAATGTCGCTCCCTGTGGATTTAGGGCTTGCTGACCTGTTTCAGGCTGGCCACCTGATTTCTGGTTCTACCAGCTTTGGCCCTGGATGTGCCAGGTCTGTGTGAGTTCCCTCCAGCTGCCCCTGACCTGCCCTGATTTCCTGCTGTCACTTTTTCTGGCCCACAGTCCCGGCCAGCGTGCAGCTGCATGATGCAGTGGAGCTGCACCATTGGTGCATTCCCTTCTCTGTGGACGGGCAGCCGGCACCCTCACTGCGCTGGCTCTTCAATGGCTCCGTGCTCAACGAGACCAGCTTCATCTTCACTGAGTTCCTGGAGCCGGCGGCCAATGAGACTGTGCGGCACGGCTGCCTGCGCCTCAACCAGCCCACGCACGTCAACAACGGCAACTACACGCTGCTGGCTGCCAACCCCTCTGGCCAGGCCTCGGCCTTCGTCATGGCCGCCTTCATGGACAACCCTTTTGAGTTCAACCCCGAGGACCCCATCCCCGGTGCGAGGCCGTCCTGAACCCTGTCCCCACTCCTGGGCTCTACCTGGGGCAGACATCCAGGTGTCCAGGGAGGCCTGGCCCTCTTCCTGCTGTGACCCTGACCCCGGAAGTCAGAATGCCTAGTCCTGGACAGAAAAGAGTCTGGAGTCCTGGTGTCCAGCTCTGCTGGCCTCTTTGCCCTCCTCTCCCAAGCCAGGACCTGTGATCTTTGGGCTCTTCCATCCTTTGGGGCTGGCTGAAGAGGGAGCCATGCACCAGGGTAGCCATGACCCAGCTGGAGAAGGGTCACCCGCATCTCCTCCCCTGAGGTCCAGCAGCCTCTCCCCAGCCAGCCCTCACCCCATGAAGGGAGGGTCCTAGAGGGGCAGGGAGCTCTCTGCTCCTCCTCCATCTGACTGTTTTCTCTCCTTCCTCCGCTGCAGTCTCCTTCTCTCCAGTGGGTGAGTAGCCCAGGCCGAAGGGCAGGTTCTGTCTGGTCCCTGGAGCCGAGGCTGGGGCAGAGGGCGCAGCTGACTGGATCCCAGAGAGGGCAGCAGGGAGCAGGGTGGGAAGTTGCAGGAGGAGGTACGTTGTGTGCCGAAGCCCACCCTCTCCGCCCTGTGTCCCGCAGACACTAACAGCACATCTGGAGACCCCGTGGAGAAGAAGGACGACACACCTTTTGGAGTGAGCACGGGAAGCAGAAGCTTGTGCAGGACTTGGGGTCGGGAGGCCAGGCTAGAGGCTCATCGGCATGTCACTTCTAGTCAGAGCAGTGAGGTTGCTGCGGTTGGTTTGAGCTCTGTCTGCCACACTCACAGCCACTGCAGGCGGCCCCAGGGGAGGAGGAGGTGGGTCTGGGGCCCTGCTCTGGGCCCCTATGCAGGACGGATCAGTGGTTTGCTGGGGAGGCTCTGAGTGTGCAGGAGACGCTCTGGATTTAACCCTGCCCACCCCCAGGTCTCAGTGGCCGTGGGCCTGGCGGTCTTTGCCTGCCTCTTCCTTTCTACACTCCTCCTTGTGCTCAACAAATGTGGACGGAGAAACAAATTTGGGATCAATCGTGAGTGGGGGGCTGCAGAGGGCTGTCTGTCTTTCTGTCCTCCTGGCTTTGTCCGACTGACTCTTCCTGGCTCTGTCTCTGTGGGGGGGGCTGTGCACATGGGAGTTCTGGGGTGTGTGGGTGTGTTTAGGGCATAGATGGGGGCCTGGCTGCAAGACTTGGGAGTGTGTGTCGGGCTGGTGTTGGGTAGTTTCGAGGCAGCAGCTGCTAATTGGTGGTTGGATTGTAGTCAAACACTAAGTGGGTCTGGGAGGTCTGGGCTCTGCGGGGGGTGGGGGGGAGTTCTTTGGTGCCCATGGGGCCAGGGCTGGACGGGAGCCAGGCAGGGAGAGGTGGTGCTGTCTCCCCTTCCCCCTGCCTGCCGTCTTGCTCCCTGGCCCCTCCGTCCCTCCCCTGCGACTTATGAGGCAGGGTGACCCAGCACCCCGCAAACAAGAGTGGGAAGGGGCCACGGTGCGGGCAGGCCCCTCCATGTGGCTGTGTCTCCTCCCCAGGGCCTGCTGTTCTGGCTCCAGAGGATGGGCTGGCCATGTCCCTGCACTTCATGACACTGGGTGGCAGCTCCCTGTCCCCCAGTGAGGGCAAAGGCTCTGGGCTCCAAGGCCACATCATCGAGAACCCACAGTACTTCAGTGATGCCTGTGAGGGCCTGTGCTGGTCAAGCAGGGCAAGTGTGTGTGTGCATGCCCATGTGTGATTGTGTGTGTGTGTGTGTGCATGCATGTAGAAGCCCCTGGGCCCTTACCCTTTCCACCCCAGGCCTGAACAACCCCTCGCTGTCACCCCTCCCCACCCTGGCCCAGCCATGGCATAATCTTCTCTGGCCAAGGTCAGCCTGGCTCTGGGCTGCAGCCCCCATCCAGAGTCACAGCCGCCCACACCATGTCTTCTCCGGGTAGACACAGCCCCACACTACGACACAGGGCTTGGTGAAGTAGGGAAGGCTGAACTGTAGTCCCCATCCAGCCCCACGGCCGGACAGCCTTGTGCAGCACACAGCCCTGCTAGCTGGCCCTACCCTTCCCACCACCCATCCCTCCTGAGACCCAGGCTCCCGCCTGACCCTCGAGCCCCTCCCAGGTGTCCACCACATCAAGCGCCGGGACATCGTGCTCAAGTGGGAGCTGGGCGAGGGTGCCTTTGGGAAGGTCTTCCTTGCGGAGTGCCACAATCTGCTGCCTGAGCAGGACAAGATGCTGGTGGCTGTCAAGGTGAGACCCTGGCCACGAGGCCCTGCCAGCATATCAGGACACGGTGCCCGGGCTGGGGGTGGGATGCCAGGGTCTGCTGTGGCTCAAGACTGAAGGCAGGCGGGCTGTCCTGGGCGTCAGGTGGGAAGGTGCGGGCCCCCGCCCCAGCCTGTCCCTGCCCCTGCCTTCCAGGCGCTGAAGGAGGCGTCCGAGAGCGCGCGGCAGGACTTCCAGCGCGAGGCTGAGCTGCTCACCATGCTGCAGCATCAGCACATCGTGCGCTTCTTCGGTGTCTGCACTGAGGGCCGCCCACTGCTCATGGTCTTCGAGTACATGCGGCATGGGGACCTCAACCGCTTCCTCCGGTATGAGCGCCTGTGTCCCCTGGCATCCCTACCCTGGGAGCACGCCCCTGTGTGTCTGTCGAACCCAAGTGGGGATGCCCAGAAGTCGCATTCCTATCCCCAAGGAGCCCTGAGGTGAAGAGGAGGCAGAGAGAGTGTGGGGTGGCCTTGCAAGGGACAGAGTTAGTAGTCAGGGAGGCTGCCCTGGCAGAGGCCAAGAGGTACAGTTTCAAGAAGGGTGGGCTTTGCAGAGGGTGTGTGTGCATTTGTGTGTGGCTTGCAGAGGCCAGGCCTGTGAAAAATGGCAATTTAGATGCTACAACAACAGCAACAATAAATGTTTATCAGGCACTTTCCAGGTCCCAGGTACCATGTTATATACTTTATAAATCATTAACAACATTTTAAAAAAGTATTTATTATTGCTGGGTGTGGTGGCTCATGCCAGAAATCCTAGCACTTTGGGAGGTGGAGGTAAGAGGATTGCCTAAGTCCAGGGGTCCGAGACCAGCCTGAGCAACTTGGCGAGTCCCCATCTCTATAATAAAAAAATTAACCAGATGTGGTGGCACATGCCTGTGGTTCCAGCTACTTGGAAGGCTGAGGCAGAAGGATCACTTGAGCCCAGCAGGTCAAGGCTGCAGTGGCTGTGAGCATACCACTGCTCTCCAGCCTGGGCAACACACTGAGACTCCTAGTCAAAAAAAAAAAAAAAAATATATATATATATATATTTTAGTCAAAAAAATTAAAAATAAATAATTAAAAAGTATTTATTATTATTGTTATTATTATTTTAATTTTTGAGTTGGAGTCTCACTCTGTTGCCCAGCCTGGAATCCAGTGGCACACTCAACGGTCACCGCAGCCTCAACCTGCTGGGTTCGGGTGATCCTTCCACCTCAGCCTTCCGAGTAGCTGGAAATACCGATGCACGCCACCATGCCTGGCTAATTTTTTGATTTATAGTATGGAGACAAGGATTCACCATGTTGCCCACCCAGTCTGGTCTTGAACCCACAGGCTCAGGCAATCCTCTCGCCACAGCCTCCCAAATTGCTGGGATTATAGGCATGAGCCACTGCACCTGGCCATTATTATTATTTTTAGAGATAGGATCTGGCTCTGTTGCCCTGGCTGGAGTGTAGTGGCACCACCCTAGCTCACTGCAGCCTTGAACTCCTGGGCTCAAGCGATCCTCTTACCTCAGTTTCCCAAGAATCTGGGACTACAGGTATGCACCACCACTGGAATTACAGGCTGAGCTACCCAGCCCGGCCAGGCACTTTTTTTTAAGTTGGAGTCTCACTCTGTTGTCCAGGCTAGAGTGCTGTAGCATGATCACAGCTCACCACAGCCTCAAACTTCTGGGCTCAAGGTCCTCCTGCCTCAGCCTCCCAAGTAGCTAGGACTACAGGCATGCACCACTATGCCCAGGTAATTTTTAAAAATTTTTAGGCAGATACAAGGTCTCACAATGTTGCCTAGACTGGTCTGGAACTTCTGAGCTCAAGCAATCCTTCTGCTTCGGCCTCCCAAAGTGCTGGCATTACAGGTATGAGCCACCATGCCCAGCCCACATTTCCTGAAGTTATTAAAATTATCAGCACAAGCCGGGCTCAGTGGCTCAGCCTGTAATCCCGCGCCTTTGGGAGGCTGAGGTGAGTGGATTGCCTGAGCCCGCGGGTTCGAGACCCTC